ACAAAAAGCTATGGAACCTTTATATAATGGAGAAAATCTCAGATACTCTGAAACAAAATCTATCTAGAGGTGGTCAGAATGACATTGTATCTATATGGTACCCCATACTAGTACATCTATCTACCAAAGAAATAGTAAAGGTAAAGGTAAAGGTTCCCTTGCTCGAAAGCCAGTCGAGTCCGACTCTAGGGTTGCGATGCTCATCTCCGTTTCAAAGCCGAAGAGCCAGCGCTGTCCGAAGACGTTTCCGTGGTCATGTGGCCAGCATGACTAAACACCAAGGTGCACGGAACGCTGTTACCTTCCCACCGAAGTGGTACCTATTTATCTACTTGCAATTTCTTGCTTTCGAACTGCTAGGTTGGCAGGAGCTGGAACTAGAGATGGGGGCTCACTCCATCATGCGGCACCCGGGTCTCAAACTGCTGAACTACTGACCTTCCACAGCCTGCAGTTCAGTGTCTTAACCACTTGAGCAACCTTAACCACTTGAGCCACCGCAGCTCCTAAAGAAACAGTACCTGATGTAATAAACACTCTGCATCTATGGTAATTTTCAAACTGTATAATACCGACAAATTGTACGAAACGTATGAAGCCATTGAGAGCTGACTATGCTCATGCTTACCTTGTAAATCTTTGCTGTTTATAAAAATGAATAAAAATTATCTGTTAAAGAATGGTGTCATGGTACTTCCGCCCTCCCTCTCCCCCTTTCTTCACCTGGAATACTCCCAATGCATCTGCCGCTATAGCACTGTGCAAAGGGGTCCGCCCCCACTGATCACGGGTGTTGGCGTCGGCTCCGGATGCCAGGAGTCTTCGGGCGGCATCAGCGCGGGAGTATCGGGCCGCGAGGTGAAGGGGCGTCTCTCCAGAGCTTTCCTCTTGTGTGTCTGCCCATGACTCCTCCACTTTCGATACAGGAGTGTGGGCTGCGGGCATCAGTGGTGTCAGGCCACAAACTGAAAGGGCAGAAGGTCGGGAAGTGAGAAGGACGATACATGCGCTTACTGATTTATATCACGCTTTTCTCCCCAGTTGGGACTCTAAGCACCTTTAAACGTCGCTCTCCCCACCTCCATTTACTTACAACAACCCTGTGAGGTAGGCCAGGCTGAGAGTTAGAGAAGGGTCCAAGGTCACCCAGGAAGCTTCCATGGTAGAAGCGGGGATTTGAATCCATGTCCTGTAGGGTCCTAGTCCTCCACTCTGTCTACTATACCACACTGGTTCTCCCACACTGGGTAGAACTTAGGGCTGCCAAGTGGGGGCGGGGGGCCGGGAAACCCCCGCTTTGGAGGCTCGATTTCCGCCGTGGCGGAATCGGGCCCCAGGGGGAACCCTGCCCCGCGTGCGCATCACCAGGAAGTGACGTGGGCACGCCGGGCACGTTGGGGGCGGGGCCACGGCCATACAAGGGAAAACTCTATGGTTTTCCCTTGTATGGCCGTGGCCCTGCCCCCAGCGTGCCT